TTGATATCAATTAAGTTTCTTATTGGCTTGAATTTGACCAAAGTTACAATACGAAGTCCTTTCTGGCATGATCTATCTTTTAATCTAGGAGTATTATGCAATGAATATCATTAAACTCCACTATCCTATTCTCAGATTACTTATCAGAGGATCATCTCAACACTGTCCAATAAGTTCCCAAAGGAAGAATTGCTCCTCCTGTTTTATTCCAGGAGATCAGAAAAATCTTCTATTGGGCATCCAAGAATCATTCCATCCGTAAGTATCATTTCCAAATTCTCAAGCAGGTGACAGCAAGTGTCAGAATGCCTCTCTAATGTAAGGCAATTGGATAGTGGCTCCAAATTTTGATATTCATGCTAATTTTGAGAGGGTGGTTCATGTTCTTTGCCATATTATCTTAGGACAAGTATCTTCTTAATTATATTTATGGCGGTTCTGCTCTACCATTGCACCAATTCACAATTGTTTATCAGTCATGATGTAGTACAGAATAAAGATTAGGGCTGGCTAATGGGAGCCAAAGGATGCTTTCTTCTATCAGTTTGCAAGAAATTATATTAATATTTTCGGTTTAAGTTTGGGGCTGCAGGAGCTAACTCTCAATGTTCTGTGGTTAAAAACTGCAGTCTAGCAAAGCTTTAAAAACAGCAGTATTTATATGTCCCACTGTCAAACCTGACTTCAATCTTCCTGCCTCAGTTTTCAGTCTCTTACAATTTTTCCAGTGCCTCAATTGTCTTGAGTGCATTCTTAGTCTACTGTATTCTTCTCCTTCCTGATTTTTATTCATTCTAGTCATGAGTTGGTGTGACTCTGGCTAGGGCTACCAGTTTGAAATTGACATTTATTTTCTGTAACATAAGATACCAAATCAAACTATTGAATTGTTTCTGATGCACCCAAATGCTAATTTAATTCTTGCTGGTAACCTTAATGCTAGTTTGGGCCATTTGGAATACTGCATCTAGTTTTGGTCACCACGATGTAAAAAAGATGTTGAAAGTCTAGAAAAAATGCAGCAACAAAGCAGCAACAATGATAATTAGGAGTTTGGAGGCTAAAACATATAAAGAATGGTTGCTGGAATTGGGTATGTCTAGTTTGATGAAAACAAGGACTAGGAGTGACATGATAGCAGTGTTCCAATATCTCAGGGGCTGCCATAAAGATGAGGGAGTCAAGCTATTCTCCAAAGCACCTGAGGGTAGGACAAGAAGCAATGGGTGAAAACTAATCAAAGAGAGAGCAACCTAGAACCAAGGTCAAAATTCCTGACAGTTAAAACAATTAATCAGTGGAACTACTGGCCTCCAGAAGTTGTAAACGCTTCAGCACTGGAAGTTTTTAAGAAGAGATTAGATAACCATTTGTCTGAAATGGTGTAGGGTTTCCTGCCTAAGCAGCGGGTTGGACTAGAAGACCTCCAAGGTCCCTTCCAACTCTGTTATTCTATTCTACTCTAAAAATGTTATCAACAAAGTACATAATCCTTTAAAAATTGTTTTTACCTTGACAGCAACTATTCCCTTATTCTAATATAACAACTAGCTGGCTCAAAATAATTTATTTATTTATAATTAATATATTGGTTGGAGAAAATCTTTTCAGAGAACAATTATGAAATTACATGGTACCAGGAATTTAAAAGGGCTATTGCCTATCTTTATAGTTCAATAGTTTTCTGGCTTTAACAGCTCATTGAGTCATAAAAGATGAGATGGGCATATTGCAGATTATGCATCAAATAATTAACATCAATAGGAATCTAATGCATTGATGAAGATTCTCACTCATCCAGATAAAGTTGTCTGGAACTGTATGCATGTATGGAGAGCTGAGTCTTGGCAACTGGACTTCTTTCTTTCTTTGTTTTGAAACATTATCCTGCTCATCCAAGTAGTTTCTTCAATCTGCAAGAAGCTACTGAAGAAGCTCCTTGGATAAACAGCGAAACATTTCAAACCAAAAAGCAAAGAAGTCCAATGGCCATGACTCAACATCCAGATAGGAATCTAATGGTTAAAGTTCCAGCAAAGAATAGCAGAACTAAGTGCAAAATAAATCTCCAATATAATCAAGAGTGTGCAAAACTAATTGCAATTTACAGGGTCTTTAATGATAATTATAGACACTGAGCGATACGCCATTTGATCTGGAAAAATTCGATAAGGCCTTGCTTCAAAGATGAAAGCAGGAGGCTCAGTGGAACAATCAATTAAAGATAAATCTGGCTTACAGCCTATTTTTTTCCCCAAAAAGGGCTTCTGGGGTGGGTCAGTTAATCTCATTTGAGAAAATTGATTTAGCATTACCATGCTACATTTAGCAATGTTACACCTGATCCAATCCCTCTCAGGTTAATTTTAATCTTTTTGTATTTATGCTTTTATGGCAGTATAAGCCATCCCGAATCACTTTGGGTTGTGAGATGGGTGGCATATAAATTTAATAAATTTAATAAAAATTAATAAATTTATACTTTCAACACTGGAAGATTTTAAGAAGAGATTGGACAACCATTTTTCTGAAATGGTAGAGAGGTCTCCTGCCTGAGCAGGGGGTTGGACTAGAAGACCTCCAAGGTCCCTTCCAACTCTATTATTCTTTTAAATAAATAAATTACAGAATGGTTTATTTATTTATTTTATTTGTCCAGCAAGTATTAGATAACAGGTATAAGTATAAACATGGTTATGAATACATGAAATGGATACGAATACAAAAGAAACAATAGGACAGGGACGGGAGGCACGTTGGTGCGCTTATGGACGTTCCCTACAGACCTCTTAGGAAAGGGGTGAGGTCAATAGTAGACAGTCTAAGGTTAAAGTTTTTGCGGTTTGGAGAAGAAACCACAGAGTCAGGTAGAGTATTCCAGACATTGACCACTCTGTTGCTGAAGCCGTATTTCCTGCAATCAAGTTTGGTGCGGTCAACCTTGAGTTTGTATCTATTGTGTGCTCTTGTATTGTTATGGTTGAAGCTCAAGTAGGACATTACAGTAGATAATTTTATGTATTATACTTAGATTGGACCGAAGGCAGTGTAGTCTAGGTTGTCTAGGTCTAAAATTTCAAGTCTGGTGACATAAGTTATTCTGCTATGTGTAGAGGAGTGGAGTGACTTCCTATGTCCACTGCTGAGATCTTTAAACTTTGCTTGCAACTGCAGGTTTCATCTATTGGGAAACCTGATCGAAACTGAACTCTAACAATGATTGGTGGATAACAGTATCGACATCTCTATTTACTGATATTGGTTATCCTTTTCAGTTGCCAAAGAAAGGAGGGTCATGTGATCTTGAAAGGTGGGGTGAAGAGATGCTGCTTAGGGAATGGTCAGAAAAGAGACAGCATAGCCTGCAGCTAGGGCAAAAGGAGGCTGTAAAGGAGACAGTGGGAGAATAGTACTTTTAGATTTTTAGAATTGTACTTTTGGACCTGGAAATGTAGCTATACAACAAAATAGAATTAGTTTATCTGCCCGTGTTTTCTGTCTGGTCTACCTGATAAGGCTGATTTATATGAATGGTGACAAGACTTTGCTGGCAAATTTCTGGCCAAATTTTTCAGTCCCCTAAGTATGTCTAACTCTAACAGGATATGTCATACATCTTCAGGGGAAGCTAGTGACTCAAGAAGAGATTGGACAACCATTTGTCTACAATGGTATAGGGTTTCCTGCTCAAGCAGGGGGTTGGACTAGAAGACCTCCAAGGTCCCTTCCAACTCTGTTATTCTGCATTTTGCATTGTTTTAAGACAATGTGGTAGAGAAGCAAGCTGGGTAAAGGATGGGATGATTAATCTTTAATTGTTGACTTGAGCTGCATGGCCTGGCAGAAAACTATTTCTTCTACTTCCTAGACTGCCTTTCTTTGATTCAATCTCTAGAAAAAGGCTACAGGCAAAAATGTCAGCCTCCCCTAAATTGCTGACTGCTTCTTCTAATTATGAACCTATGGACGAACACTGTGTGAGTAAGGTGTAAAACCTTTGGAGATTCCTCGCTCCAGCACTTATCCAAAAAGGGGTTAAGCAAGGGTGACTCTTTTCAATCTCTGGGTCTGTTCCATAACTCAACTTTTGTCCAAAAAAAAGAAAGAAAGAAAGAAAGAAAGAAAGAAAGAAAGAAAGAAAGAAAGAAAGAAAGAAAGAAAGAAAGAAAGAAAGAAAGAAAGAAAGTCTTTATTATTCACATGCCAATGACACAGTTATTCTTCTGACATCTAAGTAAACTTAAAATGAAGCTTTCAAGCTCTTGCTATATATTGGAATAAGGGAAAACTGGACATTAGCTATTTTAAAATAAATATTGTTTACCAAAAGGAAGGTAAACTGCAGTCACAGCAGGAAAATAAGCAGTTATCTCTTTAGAACAGTCTCCCAATCTCTGCACATTTATGACGTGCGGACTTCAATTCCCAGAATTCCTCAACCAGCACATTCATTCTGGGAATTGAAGTCCACATGTTGTAAGTTTGCTGAGTTTGGGAAACACTAGTTTAGCATAAGCCAAGGACTTTAATATCTGGATTTCAAATCATCTGTAGCTTGAATGAAGGTTGAGACTCTGGAAAGAGTGCAGAGAAGAGCAACAAAGATGTTTAAGGGGCTGGAGGCTAAAAAACATGAAGAACAGTTGCAGAAACTGAGTATCTCTAGTCTAGTGAAAAGAAGGACTAGGGGTGACATAATAGCAGTGTTCCAGTATTTGAGGGGCTGCCACAAAGAAGAAGGGGTCAAATTATTCTACAAAGCACCAGAAGACGAGAAAAGAAGCAATGGAAGGAAACTAACCAAGGACAGAAGCAGTCTAGAACTAAGGAGAAATTTTCTGACAATGAGAACAGCTTGCCTTCAGAACTGGTGGATACTCCATCACTGGAGATTTTTTAACTCTACAACAGGGGTGGCATTCAGCAGGTTCTGACCAGTTCTGGAGAACCAGTAGCGGAAATCTTGAGTAGTTCAGAAAACCGGCAAATCCCACCTCTGACTGGCCCCACCCCCATCTATTCTCTGCCTCCTGAGTCCCAGCTGATCGGCTGGGTCTTCTTTTGTTACCCTGCACAGGAGAATGGAGCTGGAAAGGAGGTTAGTGGGGTGGGGAGGTAATGGGATTCTGCAGTAACCTTCCCCCAGGAGTGAGAAGGAGATGGAGATTTTACAGTATTCTTCCACTGCCACGCCCACCAAGCCACGCCCACAGAACCGGTAATAAATTTTTTTGAATCCCACCACTGAAGAGAGGTGTCAAACTCACTTCGTCACAGCAGCGTCACGTGACATATTGTGACCTTTTCCCTCTTCACTAAACCGGACGTGGGTGTGGCCAGTGCCTGATGCCTCCGCTCCACTGGCTGCAAGCTTTACAGCTCTGCTTTACAAAATGGTACCCTTCAGAGTCAGAAGAGAGACGATGCAATCTGACAGCTTGCTGGCAACTATAATCTAGTAGTAAGCAATAATTATGTCCCCACAGTTTTAAACATACTCAAAGCTAAAAGCACCGGTCCTTTTGCTTTATCCCTCAAAGGTGTGATTTCTCCACCTGTGAGCGCTAGGACATGAGTTCTCAGGCATCTTAAGGAACTAAACCCCATTCTTTCAAAAAATGGATTACTTACCAGCAGTGCCTAGATTTCGCTGAGATCCAGAACTCGGCTGAGCCAGTGAACTTGGCCTCCCCAATAGGCTTGAACTGCTGAAGGCATTAGCGCTTCCTGCAGGATTCCCAAGGCTTCCTGTGTTACCAAAACTTCTCGGAAAGGTGCCAAAAGGATTAGGTGGGTTCCTCAAAGCCGTGTTGCCCGGAGCTGAAGTCTATGGAAATAATAAGTTTGTTGAGCTTTCCAAAATCTGAATGCTCCCATTAACCACCTATATTTTTGTTTTAAAAAATGGAAAATGACAGCCCCTAAATTGGCAATGCATCTCCTAATTTCAACAACGCGGTCATGTACCGGTAGTTGTAAAAATCAGGCCTGTCAATTTAAACCTGGCCTTTAATTCCAGAAATAGACTAAACAGAAGAGAGTAAGTGAACAATTAACCAGTGGGACAACTTGCCTCCAGAAGTTGTGAATGCTCCAACACTGGAAGTTTTAAAGAAAAGATTAGATAACCATTTGTCTGAAGTGGTGTAGGGTTTCCTGCCGAAGTAGGGGGTTGGACTAGAAGACCTCCAAGGTCATTTCCAACTTGGTTATTCTGTAATCTGTAACCTCTAATTGACTTCCCAGTACTTATTTTCTTAAAAAGTTATCTTGTTTTAGATTTTGCAGGTTTTCTTTTCCACCTATACCACTAACAATGGAAGATGTATTTCGCATCCTGAAAATCCTACAAAGAATTTGTGACATTTTCTAAAATCAGAGACAGACCCTCCTAGATCTTCTTTCCCCACATTATCATTTTGTTCTATCGCAACAACTAAACTCCTTTTCCAGGTTTAGAACATTCTCCAGTCTTTAAAATAACGTAAGTGATTGGAATGCAGAGGAGATGGAGGATAACAGAGATGTTGGATTAACCGAAACCCCAAACATCCAAAATAGATGTTTCGTAAAAAAGTTATTTTTAAACAGAGTTGCTTATTTCTATGCACCATCTACAGCAAGTTCTTGACCATTTGTTTAGTGACAGTCTGAAGTTACAACAAGACTGAAAAGAGGGACTTATGACAGCTTTTCAGAGTTACGACCATTGCAGCATCCCCATGATCAGACGATCAAAATTTGGATGCTTATCAACCGGCATGTACTTATGACAGTTGTAGTCCCCCAGGGTTGTGTGATCACCCGTTGTGACCTTCTGACAAACAAAGTCAATGGGGAAGATTTACTTAACAATTGTGTTAGTAACTTAACAACTTGCAGTGATTCACTTAACAACTGTGCCAGGAAGGTTGTAAAATGGGGCAAAACTCATTTAACAAGTCTTGTGCTTAGCAACTGAAGTTTTGGGCTCAGTTGTGGTTGTAAGTTGAGGACTATCTCTTGCATAGCTCTTCAGTGCTAGCCTGCCCCTCACTCTAAATTAGGACTGCTGAGACCAGTCCTTCTAGCTAGGAGTATCCTGGGTCCAGATGAGAAGGTCCAAATCACCTTCTTTTAATAACCCCATAATCCCTTGCGGGGTGGAGTCTGGGCAACTGAATAGAGCTAGCAGAGTGTTTTAATGGCCGGATGCCCTTCCTGTCACCAATGCAGAGTTTTGTTCAGCAGATATATTCCCATTGTGGCCAGAGAGAGAAATATCTGCCCCTACCTAGGATTGAACTCACAGCCTCCTGATTGTGAGGTGAGAGTTCCACCTCTAGGCCACCGCACCACTGCCTGAGAAGGTCCCAATGGTGCCTACAATTGTGCAATTGAGAGCCCACCCCTCTTTTACATGGGTTATGTGAGCACCACTGATATAAAAGAGCAGGGCTCCTATCACACAGTCTCAGCCACCCTCGTGGGTTATTTTTTTTGGGGGGGGGCAGCCCACATCCCTTGAAGATGCTTCTGTAGCCCAGGGCCAATCTGGCAGCAGCTTCTCCTAAAATCTCGGGGCTTCTGAGATCTGGCCTCGTGGAGATGCCAAGGGATGAAGTCTGCCCACGAGGAGCAGACGTTGAGGTCTCGGTTTACCCTCAAGCCGATGCAGGCCTGCTTGGTCTGCTGGAGCTGGAGCTTCAAGTTTTCATTCTCGTCAAGCATCTTCCTGTATTCGCCTCTTATTTTCTGAGCTTGGTTTTCTTGGGATTCCTGGAGGGCCTGCTTCTGCCACTCAAACTGCTGCTGCTGGAGGCTGATCTGCTGGTCCCGCTCCTGCACGCGTTGGTTACAAGCAGCCTTCTGGCTTTGCAACAGGGCATTCTCTCGAGTCACCTCGTTGGCCTTCTGGTCAATTTGCTGTGCCATCGTATCAAGGTGGCCCTGCAGATTTCTGAACGTAGAGCGGAACGTGGTTTCAATATCATGGCGGTAACAGCCACGGCTCTCATAGGAATTTAAAAATTCATCCGCTGAAGCCTTGAACTTCTTAAGGACAGGTTCTAACTCTTGGACCACGGTGGTCTTCAGCTCCTGGTACTTCTGTTCCCGCGTTTCCAGCCGGACTTTCTCTAGAAGGCAATCATTCTTCTCTTTCTCTGCCGTCTCGGCTTTCCCTTGCCAAGAATTCCTGTCCTGGTTTAAGCTTTCTCGCTCCCTCTGGCCTTTCAGCTCCAAGGCCACCAGCTGCTTCTCCAGAGAGCTCACTTGTGCTGTAGACCAAGCGACACAAAACATAAAAGCCAGCCGGTCAATATTGTAAACCTGGACATGACGGTGTGCATTAAAGCAGGGGTCACCAACCTTTTGGATCTCAGGGACCACCAAATTCATACTTTTAAATCCCGAGGACCACTAATATGAATTTTTTTAAAAAGCTAATATATTTAATGTAATTTTTTATGTTAATGTTACACACACACACACACACACACACACACACACACACACATCATACACAAACACACACACGCACACTTACTTATTTAATTATAACAAAAATGTAAATGCTTAATGATAACAAAATAAAATGTTCTGGGCTGGAAGCCTCCCACATCTGGCACCTTCCAAAGAGACAGAAGATCAGGCTCTCTCTCTCTCTGTGTGTGTGTGTCTGAGCTGAGGGGCCTCTGGGCAACTGCTGCTGGGAGAAGCAGAGGGAGAAAGGGGGCTTTGCTCTCCTTGGGGGGCAGCGCCCTTTGGCTGCCACTCCAGGGGCTTCTCTGCAGGCATCTGCCTGCAGAAGGACTGCCACTCTTGGTGATTAATTGGGGGAGGGGAGGAGGAGAAAGTGGGAGCTCCTTTCAGATCCCGGGTGGAGGATTGAGAGGCTCAGATCTGCAGCCGAAGAAAAGCTGGGGGGGGGGACTTTTCCAGCGTCACCTGGAGACAGCAAAGAAAGGTGTCCCTGGGGGCACTTCGCTCGCTTTAGCACTTCGCTGCCAAACCCAGCCACAGCCAGTGATTATTTGGGGGTGGTGGGGGAGAGAAAGTATCTCTCGCATTACCAGGGAGGAAAGGAGACAAAACAAAGCTCACTCTTTCCCCGAGACCTACAAAACGCCAATCTACCGTGTTCCAGGAGTTCTTCAAAAATCATCAAACGCTCCGACTTGCAGTTCTCGCGCCTCCTGGCTCAGGTCCCTGAGATGCACGCTCCCACACACGGCAGCGGCGGCAACAACAGTCCCCGCTCCCAGTGCTCGCCGTCAGCTCTCCCCATTAGTTTTCTAGCCTTGAATTGCTCCCGGCTCTCTCTCTTTCCTCCCCGCCACCCACCTGCAGGCAGGAAAGGGAGACGGAGCCTTGCACAGCTCTCCCCTTTTCCAGACCTTGCTGCCTCTTCCCAACATCGAAGCCTCGGAAACGCAGGCAAAGATATAAGTAGAAAAAAAAATCACTGCAAATTTCTCTGGCTTTTCGATACAGAGCTAGCACTAAAGATGGGTTTGCAATACTCACCAACACAAGTAATATTCAAAAGCTGCAAATTGAATTTACTTTCATTTGCCCCTATGAGAGCTGCTGTATTGCTGATCTGTTGTTCCTTCAGCTTTGCCTAGAAAAGGATGAAAAATCGATTAAGTTTCTTCCATGGCCGCTGGGGAATAACAGAACAGCCACCGGCTTGCTTTCCAGCCTTCTCAACTTCAGAGCCTCCTCTGATTAAATAGATTTTAACCAACAGCTTGTATGAGTTCTAGAAAATTAAGTCAGCCTCCAATAGGTGCATAAACACCATTGTGGTTGTGAAAGTGGTTAATCTCGTTCAAAAAAATATCCAATCTATAGGCAAATGAACTGTCACAAACTACACTGTCTCAAGAGGCATGGAATGGGAAACAACCTGTCACATTATTTCCTCCAGGCCAGGTTGGGCACAAATCCTCCCACTGCCCAAGCAATATCATGGGCTGTTTTCCCAAGGAATGCCCTTCGCCATTCCTTGGGAGAAGATTGTTCTCAAACAGGCCACCCCATTCCTTCTCTTGCAAGGGAGTTGGTCACTTTCCGTGAATCTGTCCTCTTAGAGTCTTGAATACTTGAATTCTGTCTTGTGAAGCACCCCCAATTCCATTCCCCCCCCCCCAGTTCTTAGGGAACTGGGAAAAGCCTTCAGAAAAGATCTGAACAGTATTGAGGGTTGCAGAACACCTACTTTGTGGGTTATAGTGCCAGGGCTATCATTTGTAGCTGAAAGAATCCAACACAACACCTTATTTCCAACAATGGTAACACAGATGCCCAAGGCAGAAGCATTTTTCCTTGCCATTTATTCTCTGGTATCTGCTACTTCAGAGACTGAATATGGAAATTTAATGTAGCTGTCATAACTAATACCTGTGCCTTTATTAAAACATGTCTCTATGGCCACCCATATTACCATAGGGTAACTTCAATTAAATTAAATTTGAATTTAAATTAAATTTTAAAACTTAATATTGAATCAATATATAATGCCCTTTTTCATGGATAAATCTTTCAATGCACTTCACAGTCCATCCTCATTGTCCAGGCGCTTATCATTTTTCCCTTCCTTTGGAAAAGGAACTCAACTTCATGTCTATAAATGCATAGAAAAAGGTGGATGCTTATGGCAACCTGAAGGCCATCGGTCTCTATGTTCTTCCTCTCCTGGGGCTCACCTTGTCAATGTTGCAAGTCCTCAAGGTGCCGTTCAATTTGAACATTTGGGTCTGCACCTGACGAGCTTCCTTCTCCGTGGCATTCAGCTGGTACTTGAGTTTGCCCATCTCTTCGTTGAGGGCTTTGGTCTTATTGTCACTCTCGTGCAGCTGGGCTTTCAGGTCCTTGATGTGATTCTCAGTGCTTTTTAGGGGGTTGCTGTAGATCATGAAAAGCACCAATCCCAGAATGATAAGGAACTGGATGAGGGAGAGGAAGAGGAAGAAATATTTCATGTAGAAGCCACAATCCCGCTTTGATTGAAGGCTATCCTTGGTGTTTAGGCCCAAGGCGGCCATGGTGTATGCATTCTTCTCCATCGTGTTATCAACTGCCTTGGCTAGTTCCTGATTCAGCCTTTGGGTTCAACTGGGTGGGGACAAGCATCTCCCACTGTTTATATTGCATCTGATTAATATTTCCTCCCGCTTGGCTCCTTGTTTCCTTCCCTTTTCGTTGGAGAAGCTAGTGGTTATGAGTTAACATAACACAGCCGCCATTCCAAGAAAGCAGTATTGTTATCTGTGAATCAAAGAACGCTTCCTCTTTCCTTGTTTGCTTTCTGCTGGCCCACTCTCACCCCCTTTGTCAAAACAAGGCCAGCCTTGCCTCCCCTTCATTAACTTGGTCTCAGAGGACCCTCTGGAAGACGTCAGCTACATCTCTCTTGGCAGAGGATGGGATTAACCCGAAGTAATGCTTGTTATCTAAACAGCACACCCCCCATTTCTGCTTTCAGCACAGAAGCCAAACAGACTAGAGCGATCATGACCTGCCTAGCCCTTTCCTGTCTCTTTGCCCTCCAAAATGGAGTCATGAACAAGAGAGCCACTGAGGCATGGGTTTCTGGTGGGTAAAAAGCAGAGGTGGCATTCAGCAGGTTCTGACCATTTCTGGAGAACCGGTAGCAGAAATTTTGAGTACTTTGGAGAACCGCAAATCCCACCTCTGACTGGCCCCGTCCCCATCTATTCCCTGCCTCCCAAGTCCCAGCTGACTGGCTGGGTTTTCTTTTGTTGCCAAGCACAGGAGAATGGAGCTGGAAAGCAGGATAGTGGGGTGGGGAAACAGAGGTGGTATTCAGCAGGTTCTGACCAGTTCTGGAGACATTTTGAGTAGTTTGGAGAAATGCAAATATCACCTCTGACTGGCCCCACCCCCATCTATTCTCTGCCTCCTGAGTCCCAGCTGATTCGCTGGCTCTTCTTTGGTTGTCCTGCACAGGAGAACGGAGCTGGAAAGCAGGTTAGTGGGGTGGGAAGGGAATGGGGATTTTACAGTATCCTCCTTCCCCTGCCACACCCACTAAACCACGCCCACCAAGCCACACCTTGCCCACCAAGCCATGCCCAAAGAACCGGTAGTAAAAAAATTTGAATCCCACCACTGGTAAAAAGGTAGGAAGAATCTGGATGATACCTCAGAACCAGATCTGGTTGTCCTCAACGTACGACTACCGTTGAGCCCAACAATTAGGTTGCTAAGTGAGAAATTTGTTACATGAGTTTTGCCCTGTTTTACGACTTTCCTTGCCACATGTGTTAAGTCCATCACTGCCGTTGTTAAGTAAATCTGGTTTCCCCCCTTAATTTGTCAGAAGGTCACAAAAGGTGATCATGAGGCTCCAGGGACACTGCAACCATCATAAATGTGAGTCAGTTGTCAAGCATCCAAATGTAAATCACATGACTATGAGGAATGCTGCAATGGTCGTAAGTGTGAAAAATGGTCATCAGTCACTTTTTTTCAGCGCTGTTGTAACTTCAAATGGTCACTAAGTAAACTGTTGATCGGTCACTTCTGGCCACCTAAGCAACCTTTTGATGGACCCACAACCTCTCTGGAAATCACTGCCATATCCTGGGACCACATGGCAATTTTGGGTGGTGTGATTTTGGGGGAGGGGAGGTCTTTTGAAAACCTATTTAAAATTCAGAATAAGATGTTAAGTCGTTGGGAGGCTTGTTCCTTCCTGTGAAAGTTGGACCATAAGAAAGGCTGGTGCTGGAGGAGGAGACTCCTGTGAGTCCCTTGGACTGCAAGGCCATCCAACCAGTCAGTCCTAGAGGAGATCAACCCTGACTGATCTTTAGAAGGCCAGATCCTGAAGATGAAACTCAGATACTTTGGCTCCCTAATGAGAAGGAAGGACTCACTGGAGAAGAGCCTAATGCTGGGGAAGATTGAGGGCAAAAGAAGAAGGGGATGTCAGAGAATGAAGGGGGCTGGATGGAGTCACTGAAGCAGTCAGCGTGAGCTTAAATGGACTCCGGAGGATGGTAGGGGGCAGGAAGGCCTGGAGGAACGTTGTCCAGGGGGCTGCGATGGGTCGGACACGACTTTGCAACTAACAACAACAACAATCCCTCCAGTCCTGACAAAAATCAGTTGGACTGGACCCAAGGTATAGAAAATCAGAGTCAGAAATCACTCCTTAAACAAGGCCTTGGTCTTATTTAGTCTTTTTTTTTTTAATGGGTGGCTGCTTGTGATGTTACACCTCGAAGTAGGATGCCTCTGACAGCTGTCTGCAAGTACAGCAAGTCCTTGGCTTATGACCACAATCGGGCCAGAATTTCCATTGCTAATCAAGGGGATTGTTTAAGTGACTCACCTGCAGTTTTATGACCTTTTTGCCACGATTGTTAAGCAAATCGCTGCAGCTGTTAAGTGAATCATGTAGTTGTTAAGTGAATCCAGCTTCCCCCTAATGATTTTCAGGACCCATGGATGCTGCAAACATCGTAAATACATGTCAGTTGCCAAGCACCCTAATTTTTATCACATGACCATGGAGATGCTGTGACAAATGTAAATGTGAGGACCGGTCATAATTCACTTTTTTTTCAGTGCCATTGTAACTTTGAACAGTTGCTGAACAAATGGTTGTAAGCTGTGGACTAGGAAAAGTTTATCAGTATTTAGTCGACAAGCTGCTCCTTTTGTGTGTGTGTGAGAGAGAGAGTGTATATTATCCCAGGAATGTTGGGAGTTCTTAGCCTGATGTCTTCCCCCCAATTGAATTTACAACAACCTTATAAATTGTCGCAAAGCTTTATTCTCTACAGAGTAACGATGCTTGGGAATAGTTTGCAAATCAAGCAAGTTGTCTGTTTCAGGGTAAGTTCCTTTTTTTTCCAATTCTCACAAAGCATGTCCCCTTAAAGAAATACACAATCATAAATCATTAGGTCTTAGATCTTTTACTGCCTGTCTGTTCCCACTATTGCTGCTTCCCAGTTATCACTAAATAGGATCTCCAGTTAGCTTATTTTCTGTATAGTCCCTGTTTATCTCTATCCTGTAGAAAGTGCCCTATTGTTCTCACTTTTCATGTCCTGCTGCTTTAATAATTTCCTTGCAATTCAGTGTGTTTTACTATCTATTACCTTTTTATAACTCTAATCTACAATTTGCTGCTACTTCCTTGAGATCATTCCCCTCTTTCTCTCCCCAATAAAACAGCAGCATCAAAGCTGGAAAAACATCCTGTCTTAAATATAGCCAAATAAGCTCTCTAATTAGTATTATAGGCTCCAGAGAGTTTATTTCTTCTTGAATCAGATAGTTTAGATCAGTGTTTTACAATCTGAGCAGCTTTAAGATGGGTGGACTTCAACTCCCAGAATTCTCCAGTCGTGGGAAATCCTGGGAGTTGAAGTCCACCCATCTTAAAGTTGCTGAGGTTGAGAAATACTGATTTAATTTAAATATAAAGAAGTGCCGCTCCTTGAGAGTGAGATCTTGGCCAGGGGTCCCCAAACCCCAGTCCTTGGACCGGCACTAGGCCACGCCTTGCCAGAAACCGGTCCATGCAAACAAGTGAAGGCCCATCCATGGAATACAGGCAGCGCACAAAACCATGTCTCCTCCCGCCAACGGAAAACCCTTCTACGTGAAACCGGTAACTGGTGCCCAAAAGGTTGGGGGCCTCTGATCTATTCTAGGCGACAGTGGAACAGCCCACCTATGGTGAGTCCTCCATCTCTGGAAGGTTTTTAAAACAAGCTGGGCAGCTGCCTTTCCTTGATGCACATTCCTTGAATGAAACAGGAAGATTGTCTTCTCTGTCCTGGTGCTGTTTTTTGGAACACGTCTCCCCAGTGATCCATATGGCCCCTGCTCTATTTACATTCAGGAAGTTATTGAGAATTTGGCTGTTCTCCCATGGCTGGGAGAAAAGGGATGATTTAACCCTTTAGGAAGTTTTTATTGTTGTGCGGAATTTGTCTTCTGGTTGCTTGTGATCTGTTTCTCTCTTTGCGTTTACTTTTTCTTAACCGTCAGCCACCCATTTTCAATTGTGGTTGGTGGCCTCTAAATTGTATTAGTGTTTATACTTACAAATAAGCTGAACATTTTAAGCACTAAACCACACAGATCGTCACGCGCACAAAGAAATGAGCTTGAGGTATCTGCAGATAGGTTTATCTTATACTTTTCTTATACTACTCATATTTCTCTTATATACTTGCACAGTCCCATTTCCAGATATATCAATTCGTATTTGTGGGTGGCACATTTTCATGCTATCTTGGTTAAAAAAATCAAGGGGCAGTTTATTAATTAATGGGTTTATACACAAGCATATATGGTAGAACAAACAGCTAAATCATTGTTTCTCAACCTTTTTAAATACAATTTTTATTAAAAATTTAATTGCAGTAGTAAAAACAAATACAAACCAGACTTAAAGAGGATGAAAAAAAGAACAAAAAGTGCAGTAAAAAGAGAAAGAAAAAAGACAAGACATTTTACTTTTTATAGGAAATTCCAAAATCTTATAGCAAAGTTAATATTCTAAGTTTATCTGGATCTTTAATCTATTTATAAATTTATCTGGATCTTTAATCTATTTATAAATTTATCTGGATCCAAATCTTATTCAGCTTTTTGTTGTTTATTTCAAATTCTGTTTTTCAGCATATCTTTTTTGCTTTTATTCAGAATTCAAGATAGACTTAGTCAATGAAGATTTTCCAAGCTTGTTGTTCTGAAGATCTCTCATACTGTAGTTAAAGATGGTTAACAGGCAATTTCCAAAAGTGATTAGAAAGTGAGGCTCGTGATCTTAATATCCCTTATGGTTGCAAGCAAGGTGGCATAATCTCTTCATCTCTTCCAACATAAATCCACCAAAAACTGTTCCCTCAATTTTGCTTGAGTGAATGAATGAATAAAAACAGGGGCAGTAAGTAATTTTAGTGTGGAAAGGGAACTTCATGAGGACAGTGGTGATACCCAAGCAGGAAAAGCCCAAAGGGAACATCAGGCCAGTCATAAAACAAACTTGCATAGGAAAAGAGATTTAATAAAAGGTATTGAAAGAAGCCCCCTAGACAAAAGCCAAGTAATTAAGAAAGCTAGGGAAACAAGAAAAAGAAATCCCTTACAAACAAAAGGTCATGCCAAATCAGCAAAACAAATAGACAAAAGACACGAGCAGACAGGAG